TTCATTGGTCAAACAACTTTGAATATAACAACAACAGTAAACACCCATAATCATCCATGCCTTAATGGCTGGAGAACAAGAGACCAGCTGGAGAACAACAAACCGGAGTTTGCATGGAGTCTCCTGAATCACCCTTCTTTGTTCCCTCTAACCTCCTTTATATTCCTGATGGCCTCATTCATCGTTAAGACTCTAATGTTATCATCAACCACGGGGCTTTCAAACCCCCATGGCCACACTCCCAAATCTCCCCCTTCTTTATTAATATCAATCGTTTTCTCGACACGAATTACCACTCTATATATAAGAAGGCTTTGCTTTCATATTCTAAGCCAAAATAATTGAATCTCATTGCAGACCTGTAGTTCTTCTTGAATATGGCAAAAGAATTATGATAAAGTTAAAGCAATTTGAATCCTATGCACAAATTCTAATCCCATATACACAAAATTACTTTGCTAGCACTGTGAGAAACAAGCCATAACCAATAACTTAGCCTGAGGTGAGGATCTCAGTAAAGTAGTAATTTATTCGCAATTGCAGTGGCGGGCATCCCACAAGCAGGAGTGTGCCTACTAGTCACACAGTACGGTTTATATACTTTATTTCTCGATGACCGGGCCCCTCCCCTGTTTTCCCATTGACTGGGTAATCCAGGTTCACAACATACCCAATGCTTCACAGACAATGCATGGCCTTCAGTTGCTGGCCTGTTAAATTTCAAATTTCTTTTGACTTTTTTACAGTTTGAAGTGGTAATGTTTCCTCACTTTTCTGACTTGACATCATGATTTCCATCTAATTGTTCTAAGGAGTCGGGTTGTCTACATTTTACAAGGTTGTCTGCTAAGTTTTCTTATCACTGCAAGCATATCTCAATACCACATTCTTTGCCTTTAAACAATGTAACTCTGCAAAAACACTTTTTTCCCGCAGCATTGAGAGGAATTCAAAGACTTTACAAATACAAGCTTTTTTTTTTTTTTTTCAATTTGTGAAATTGCTAAGAAGTTTTGTGCACATTCATTAACTGTATTCAGTGATTACATGAAAAAATGATGATTCATGCATATGAACAAAATAGTTTTGAGGCTTTGATGGAGCACTTCTCAGTTAAAAGACTTTGTGTGCAGGCGATGTTAAGGGTTAAAAACTCTACCAATTTGACCAAAAAGAGGAACAAGGATGCTTTTGTTCTTATTGTGCTGCACAAAAGAGCAACACATCTTCTCTTTTAAAAAGTCCAGGACTAATATGTTCAGAAAATATTAGCAATACTATCACCCCAAAATGTTAAGAGAAAGATTTACTTATCTGTTAAAATGTATGGAACTGACAAGACAGTTTACAAATGTGGCTAGGAAATGCACAGACAGAAAGGCTTAGAGGCAAATCATTGTGTCAGGGCACCAAGCAGATACTTTCTGTAATGAAAGAAGTGTTCTAATTCATAAATCAAGTTTGTCAGGAATAAATAAAAAGAAAATCAAAATTTGTACCTTCTGTCTTTACCTCACACTGAGCAAAAAGGTTCTTTTCTTGGAGCATAACAGAAGGAAGCATTATTTGTTGATCTACTCCAACAAGGTACGTCTGAGCAATGTTTTCCACCCTTCATGTGGCATTTGTGCTGTATATTATCAATATTGGCTGCTGAAGCCAAGGTCTCAGTTGTCAGCTAAGTGCTCTGCTGTGACTTGGGTTTTAAGCAGCAAATTGTCAATGTCCCTCTGAGAGATGGACAGAGCAGTAAAACCTGTCATTTGCTTTAATGGCCCAGACATCAGAAAGAAGTTTTGTCATGGCAGATGAAGCTGTCTGTTAATTCTCCCTCTGCTGCACCGAGAGCAGTGGGATTGCCATGCTTACCCGTCTAGCAGGGTTCCTCACATAAATTAGCCCAAGCAATTTTCCAGAGTGCAATAAATAAACACTGACCCCTCACTGACATTCAGGGGAGGGCATTGCAGATGAGATGTATCCAGGGACACACTAGCTTGGTTTAGCAAATTTCAGTCCTGGGTCAGGAGCAATACTTGACATGATGCAAGAACTGACCAGAATACCCAGATCCAGGATAACCATGGTTTGAGTGGTGTACGCTATGATTCTTGCAAACTATGGCACTGATACAGATTAGGTCTTGGACAAATTCAAATTCTTCTGCTACCATTAAAAAAGATCAGCTGGTAAATGACACAGTAAAAAGGTTTAATGTCTCCTAACTTTTATGACCTAAAATTCAGGCACTTATTTTAAGGTACTGGTTTGGACCCCCTCCATAGCTGACAGTCACCTCCTTACAGCAGTTCATCTAACCTGTTTTGGACATTTATCACAGAGTGCTCTTCAAATGTATTTCCCTTTCATCTTAAAGGAGGAAAAAAACAAATTCACCTCCAGTGTTTGAGGTGATTTAGCATAAAAATGCAACTGTGAGCTTGAGCAACAGACACGTTTTGTTTGCCTGAGACTGCTCACTCTAGAAGCTTTCTTCAAAAAAGAAGTGCAAACAATTATGCTGAAGCTATTCAATGGATAAGAACAGAGATACTAGGTCAGAACATAAGCCTAGCTAACACAGCACCCTGAATCTAACAGTGTCCCAAGGAGATGGACAGGGAGAGTTATCAAAAACAAGACAGAGTTTGATATTTCTCTAACTCATTTGCCAGCATCTAGCATCAACTTTATCCTCAGTACAATCTTACTTCTCCAGAAATCATTTCTGTCACCAGAGCCGAATCAGTGAAGTTTTAATTAAAACATCTAATTCATTAACAATCTAATTTATTGTCTGTACGAGCAGTCTATACCTGACCCTCAGAGTGGCTGAATGTTCAGGTAGGGTTAAATATGACATAAGTGTTTCTAAAGGTCATTGCTTATGGAATAGGATTTTATACATCTCCATTTCCTGTTACAAAGCAGAAGTTAAACTGATTCAAAGATTGAAGTCAAAATTTCTAAGTGACAAAGTATCCTTTATTGTCAGCGCTGGATGCACAGGGGATCCTTCCACCTGATGTGCATGTTTGAAGTAACAAACTATCTCATATTTATCATAGAATCATAGAATCATAGAATATCCTGAGTTGGAAGGGACCCTTAAGGATCATCAAGTCCAACTCTTGACACCGCACAGGTCTACCCAAAAGTTCAGACCATGTGACTAAGTGCACAGTCCAATCTCTTCTTAAATTCAGACAGGCTCGGTGCAGTGACCACTTCCCTGGGGAGCCTGTTCCAGTGTGCAACCACTCTCTCTGTGAAGAACCCCCTCCTGATGTCAAGCCTAAACTTCCCCTGCCTCAGCTTAACCCCGTTCCCGCGGGTCCTGTCACTGGTGTTAATGGAGAAAAGGTCTCCTGCCTCTCGACACCCCCTTACGAGGAAGTTGTAGACTGCGATGAGGTCTCCCCTCAGCCTCCTCTTCTCCAGGCTGAACAGGCCCAGTGCCCTCAGCCGTTCCTCGTACGTCTTCCCCTCCAGGCCTTTCACCATCTTCGTAGCCCTCCTCTGGACACTCTCCAACAGTTTCATGTCCTTTTTATACTGTGGTGCCCAGAACTGCACACAGTACTCGAGGTGAGGCCGCACCAGCGCAGAGTAGAGCGGGACAATCACCTCCCTTGACCTACTAGCGATGCCATGCTTGATGCACCCCAGGACACGGTTGGCCCTCCTGGCTGCCAGGGCACACTGCCGGCTCATATTCAACTTGCTGTCTACCACAACCCCCAGATCCCTCTCTTCTAGGCTGCTCTCCAGCATCTCATCGCCCAGTCTGTACGTGCAGCCAGGGTTTCCCCGTCCCAGGTGCAGGACCCGGCACTTGCTCTTATTGAACTTCATGCGGTTGGTGATCGCCCAGCTCTCCAACCTATCCAGATCTCTCTACAGGGACTTTCCACCCTCATCAGGGTCCACCACTCCTCCAATTTTAGTGTCATTGGCAAATTTGCTCAAAACACCTTCTAGTCCTACATACAAATTATTTGTACAAAAAACATTGAAGAGGACTGGCCCTAAAATGGAGCCTTGGGGGACCCAACTGGTGACTGTCTGCCAGCCTGACGCAGCCCCATTTACCATAACCCTTTGGGCCCTGCCCGTTAGCCAATTGCTCACCCATCGTATGATGTTTTTATTTAGCTGTATGGTGGACATTTTGTCCAGTAGGATCCTATGGGAAACCATGTCAAAAGCCTTGCTGAAGTCCAAAAAAATCACATCAGCTGGTTTCCCTTGGTCCACCATACGGGTGATCTTAGCATAAAAGGAAACCAGGTTAGTTAGGCAGGACCTACCCTTCACAAACCCATGCTGGCTGGGACCAATGACTGCTTTGTCCCCCAGGTGCGCCTCAATACGTTCGAGAACCATCTTCTCCATGATTTTACCAGGCACTGACGTGAGACTGACAGGCCTGTAATTGCTAGGGTCTTCTTTCTGACCCTTCTTGAAAATCGGCACAACATTTGCCAGCTTCCAGTCTACCGGGACCTCTCCAAATTCCCAGGATCGTTGAAAAATAATTGAGAGAGGTTCTGCGATGACGTCCGCCAGCTCTTTCAGCACCCGGGGTTTTGCTGTATTTATACAGCAAAACAATGAATATTCTATTAATGCCTATACATATTCATTACCTAAACCCACCTACTCTCGCTTCATATGCTAATTAGCTTATCAGTCTTTGCACTTGCGCAAAGCCTCCCAAGAATTGTGGGCCAGGGTCTTCGGGATGTGAGCAGTGGTCTTTGGGAGAAAGACTGTAGGTATTCCTCATGATGCACTTTTCACCTTTTGCTTAAAGAAAGCCAAGTTGGCTGAATCACTTGGTAATTACCTTTGAAGCTGCAGGAATGCCGAACTGGCTCAAGTTATCTCAAGTTTCAGCCTAGCTGAGGGTCGACAGATAACGGGATGTTTCAATTAACAAGATGCTTCAACACAACAGAAGGTCAACAGATAACAAGATGTCATCTATTTTGTTCTCATTAATTTTTAACCACAAGATTTATTCTATCCTAAAGTGAGTTTATACAATATCAAAACACACTACCCATACAACAAACTATAGGGTGGTATCACAATCTTCATATGTTCAGCATAACCAGCAGTGTGAAAATGGGAAATCAGTCCTGATAGAAAACTTTCAAAAATACAATTACCCTGCAGTAGGCCTTGGGTTGGGGCAAACAAATGTGAAGACATGCTTTGTGTAACAGCATCTCAGATGGGCCAACCTATTAGAGGGAATAAAAAAACGAGTTATTCAAAGTGAATCTCAGCTTCCTATTGTTATAAATGAAGTCTCAACTCAATCTAAATTTAGTAATATTTATAAAAGGAATATTTATAAAAGGCAAGTAAACAGCACTGGGTGTGCAGGGAGTCTACACTCCACCAACACGCACGTCTATTACATCAGGTGGCTGGTTTTTATGCTCCTAGGCTACTACATATTCAACAACACTTTTGGAAAAAACAGGGTTGTTATAATTAGTTTCCCGGGATCTGAACCATCCCACGGACGCATGCATATTGGTCTCCAGTGGTCCCTCTGGGGGGTCGCTCATACAGAAGGCTCATAGTCTTCCTCTCAGGCTCTGTCCTTTGGTTGTTCTTCAGCTGTTCTTTAGTTGCAGAGTCCCATACCTTGACCTCAATTTGGTCCCATGTTTCAGGCTCATAAACTGTCTGATTGTTAATAAGGAGAATAAGCTGTAAGGTTACCAGGACAGTCTTTGTTTCTAAGGACTTATGATTTCCCATAATGCGCAACTGCTTACCAGCGGGAGGCGGTTGTGTGCACGGGTCCGCTTCTCTCAGCTTGAGCTTCTTTTCAGCTCCGGTGCGTCCATTTCCAGTGACTTTCTGTACGAGCTTCTCTGAGCAGTTTGCTGAGTTTGGCCGAACTTATCTTCATGAGGCAATCAATGTGCCTGTTCCCGTCCTGGTCTCCGTTCTGCCAGCCTGTTTCTCTTCGCTCCTTTTTCCTGCTTCTTTATTCATGACGTGACTTCATCATGTTGCCTTTTTTTTTATCTTGAGGGCAGGCTCCCCTCTTATACCCTTTTCCCCACAGCAGTCCTTTTCAAAAACAACTTTTCATTGGTCAAACAACTTTGCATATAACAGCAACAGCAAACACCCAGAAACTTCCATGCCTTAATGGCTGAAGAACAAGAAACCCAAGACTGCATGGAGTTTCCTGAATCACCCTTTTTTGTTCCCTTTAAATTCCTGATGGCCTCATCATTAGGAGTCTGATGTTATCATCAACCACAAGGCTTTCTGACCCCCATGGCCATACTCCCACGTCTCCCCCTTCTTTATTAATATCAACCATTTTCTGGACACAAATTACCACTCCATATATGACATGGTGATGTGGCTTGCAACTAGTGATAGGTTAAATCCCAGATTTACCTATGCCAGTCACCTGCATGAAGTGAAAACCAAGTGCTCTCATTACAGTGGTGAGGAGCGTTGCGGAGGTGCTGCAGTGGTTTGTCACCATTGGCATTTCACCCAGAATTGGCATAAGGATTAGGACATGAATGGATTGAATACACACCCTGCTTGCAGTCAAGCCTCCTTGGGACCATGAGGTTGTGAGAGGTAGATGTACATTGGGCTTTTCATTTCCTAGGGGCAGATGTTTCCTGGGTGGCTGTCACAGGCATCTGCTGCTCTGCACTCCCCATGTTTGCAGCTCTTGCTGAGATTATTTGTTTTATGGCTGAGGTTCAGCCATATTTTTGTCAACACGTGCTTCAAAACCATTTGAATGGTTTTGAAGGTTTTGTTTAGCTACTCATTATTCTTTCTTTCTTTCTTTCTTTCTTTCTCTCTCTCTCTCTCTCTCTCCTTCCTTCCTTCCTTCTTTTTCCTGTTGGTTTGTCTGCAGAGAATACCAAAGGGAGATAAGTCCTGAGATAAGGTGGGAGTGAAGTGTATTTGATTGTATGACCACTTAAAAGATTTATCTTCAAAGAAAATTCATCCTTAATTTATCTATAAAAAACAACTCTCCAGGTTGCACAAGTTTTTAGAGGGGTTCCTTTGAGTATTTGTCCTATTTAGTTAGGCAAAATCATACTGTTCACTACTAAGTGCAACAATAGACTGAGACAATTAGTGACAGGTTCCAGCATGGTGGGAAGTGGAATCACATGTGAAAGCAAAAATACATCTTTGTTCATAAGTGGTGTGCCTGAATCTCTGATAGAAATTGTTATAAATGAAGTCTCAACTCTGAATTTAGTAACATAAAAGAAAATTTATAAAAGGCAAGTAAACAGTGCTGGGTGCGCGGGGAGTCTTACCAACACGCACACGCAACCGTCGAACTTTCCAAATATATAAAGGACATTGCTGTTACATATTTACAAGAAACCCGAGTACGCCTATGCATATGGATATCCTATCCCCGCTTCATATTATAATTCTCTTTGTGGTGGTCGTTGTGGGCGAAAGGCTCACGGTTTCCCCATCACCATTAGCAACCTTTTGTTCCAGACTGCAGGAGTGGCTTCGACTGTCTCCCTCTTCTTCTACATATGCTCTGCCCACCACAAGGTTCCCGAAAGCAACAAAACGTGATTGCTTTTCCCGCATTTCGTTAACACTTGAAACCACACTAAACAATAAATGTTAACAGTTCTAACCAGCAACCCCCACACACAACTTCCGTGCCTTAACAGAGGGGAAAACAAGCAACCCCAGACGGCAGGGCGTCGCCTCAATCACCCTTCTTTATTTCCTCTAAACTCTTTACATTCCTGATGACCTCATCGTTAAAGAGTTTGATGTTATCACCAACCACGAGGCTTTCCGACCCCCATTGCCACATTCCCAAATCTCCCCCTTCTTTATTAATATCAACCATTTTTCTGACATGAATTACCACTCCATATATAACAGAAATGATAGTTTCCTTAGTATTTTGCAACAATACCAGCGTTGTGAGAGTTTTGAGATGGATGAAGTATCATTTCTTAGAGCTGTCTGCAAAGAGATTTGTATAATACAACGTATTTGCCGTTAACATTTTGTTGTTATTATTTAGTGGGTTTGTTATCCTATCCCAGCACTGAGTAGGGGTTTATATGAAGTTTCTAGTGGAGAACAACTACTGTCTAAACTTTCTGAGAAACCTTTTCAATAGGCTTGATTGGCACATAAAATACACTTCCAGAAATTTGTGTGCGCCAAAGGATGAAAAGAGTATCAGGGAAAACAGTGCTATGAATATCTTCAGGGCTGATTCAGTATCATTTTTCGCTGGTGAAGACTCCAGAAAGCTCTACAGAAGGAAGAGGGTCCTCATTCACTTGCCAAAATGGGAGATTTGGTGGCATCTTAACGCTTTTGCAGTCTGCACTTTATTGTATCTGACAGAACTGGATTTCTAATTGGGAAACTGATTGTTCAATCAGTTTGGGAGCACGTAAAAAAAGAAAGATTATTTTTTTAGAAAAATATAAGATGTAAACTGACAGCTGTTATTTTGATTCCTGCCTGGTAGATATCTAGTGAGGTCTGCCACCTCTTATCCACAATACAGGATTAGAAGTATGTGAACCATCTTGCCTATACTGAGAAACAATTCAAGGTGAGAATTTTGAACTTGAGTTCTAAAGCTTTAAATTATTTGCATTAAAGTTTCTTCCATTTTTAACAGTCATGTCCCCCATCCCATCCCATCCCATCCCATCCCATCCCATCCCATCCCATCCCATCCCATCCCATCCTATCCCATCCCTTCCCCCCCTCCTTGTATATGTAACACATACATGGATAGCATCAAAATTATGGAAGTATAACAAATATCATAGACCTAAAGAGTTTCTTGTCTCTACTGCTGTCAGATCATGGTTGAGCCAGAGGAAGTAGAGCTACTTTCCTGACATTAAACCAATGCAGTTTCTGTCCATTCTTGGTCTTTTTGTGTTAGATAGGAAGGAGAAAAAGAATATTTCATCCTAGTCCATATATCCAGTGAAACATTTGTTTTAATATGATGTGAATGGTTAATCCAATGTTGTACTCTGGTTCTGAAATATTTGCATATGCCACAAGGATGGGATTGAGAATTGGAAGAGCCCAAGTTTGTTCTTCACTCTTTCAGAAATGGAAATCAGGCAATCTCATTTGACATTTTCAAGCATCTGCAAGATGAGGAAAGATATATTTAGGATCAACAAAGTCAATATATTAACATCTGAAAAGCAGTTTGAAGTCTCCAGGCACAAAGTATTGTAGGAAATGTAGAAAAGAGACACTATTAGAATTCAGACAAATTTTAATTTTATTTTTTTTTTCTTTTCAGCCACCTTGGTTTGCTCTGAAATGCCAATGACATGTATGGTATTTTTAATAACAGTTTAAGCCTGTATCGAATTTTCATCTTGGCTAAATTGCTCTTGCAACCAGCCCATGCCTTTTGGAGTAAAGAGTGGTCAGTGAGGGACAGTGATGTGTGGTGTGGATTAATGTGTGTTTAGTGGGCCTGAGAAAAGGTGAAGAAAGTTTGCTAGAAGAGTTGAAAAGTTTTCTGGCTCATTATTCAATTAGCTGGAAAAAATGGAAGTGACACACTAATGACAGGACTAATACAGAGCATCTCAGCACACTGTCAGCCACAAGCACACCTGCTTCCTAACATCAGCACTTGTCAGTTTTCATAGACTCTGCTAAATAGAATGTTCCTGAGGAACAAGAGGAAAATGAATAAAAGCCCTACTTCTTTATCTTGCTCACAGCAAACACTGAAAGCAGCTCTGTGCCTCACAAAAGGATGACAGTCACAGTTTCTCATAATGACTCTGTTGGTCCTGCTCTGACAAGTGTACGGTACACACGTTGATACTCCCTGCCAGCAGCTCACTAAATCGTCTGTGGGAGCATCATCGAGGGTCTGTGAACTGGGTCATTGCTGCTGGAGGAAGCAAGCTAAATCAGCATGCAGACAGTGCCCTGATTTGCAGAGGTTTCCTCTGCCTAGGCCAAGGACACCTCTGCCTCTGTGGGGGGGGGATGGTCTCTCTATCAACTGTTGCCTGTCTGTAAAACTGCAAGTGCTGGGTAGCTTTTGTTCAGCTGTTGGCATTGTTCCTGGCCTGAGGACCCAGCAAATGTGTCCTTTTTTTCATATTCATGTCTTGAGCAAAGACAGGATGAGCTGTCACCTCCTCAAGCTAGGTCTCCATTTGTACATGTCCGTTTCTGATTGCCTGACTTCTCAGGACCAGAAGTCAATGTGTAGTTTTCCTTCAGTCAAAGAAAACATTGCCTCAGATTTCTTGGTCTTTTCTTGCATTGGAAGTTCATGAACAAGAGGCCTGAATCTGCACAGTTATAGTTTGAAAGGCAGGTGAAATGGCAGGTCCACTCAAGGCACAGGTTTTACAAGAAAGGGCCATTCTTGATGGCACAAACCTGCTTCTACCCTGTTGGTTACATAAAAGCAATTATTTTTCCAATAGTGTTATATATAGAGTGGTAATTTGTGTCAAGAAGATGGTTGATATTAATAAAGAAGGGGGAGATTTGGGAGTGTGGCCATGGGGGTCGGCAAGCCCCATGGTTGATGATAACATCAGACTCTTAATGATGAGGCCATCAGGAATGTAAAAGAGCTTAGAAGGAACAAAGAAGGGTGATTCAGGAGACTCCATGCAGTCTTGGGTTTCTTGTTCTCCAGCCATTAAGGCATGGAAGTTGCTGGGTGTTTGCTGTTGCTGTTATATGCAAAGTTGTTTGACCAATGAAAAGTTGTTTTTGAAAAGGACTGCTGTGGGGAGAAGGGTATAAAA